TGAACAAGGCCAGCCTCAGCTCTGCTCGGGAGGCCCAGTCTAGTGATCTGCAAAACCCAGTTTACATAACAGGCCTTTGTGTCGCCCCAGATAACAGGGACTCAAGAGCCACCAAGACCTTGTAAGGATTTAGAACCAGCTGAGATTTCCTGGGGGGGGGGGGGGGGTGCAGGTGGGAAGGGAAGGGCAAACCCAGACCTGTCCTCTGTGTCACCAGGGAGGACACGGTAACAATAGCAAGAGGATATTAGTGTGCATGATGCATTTTGGGGTTTTATTTACAATAGCATTTTTGGAATACACTAGAAATTCTTCTTTTTAGAGGACACTGTTTAGAAGACAAAGGTAAAAGGGACATCTTTCCTGTTTATCATTTTATTTGAACCATAGAGACACATCCCCAGCCCCTTTTTATTTATTTTGAGACAGGTTCTCACGAAATTGCTGAGGCTGGCCTCAACCTCGCGATCCTCCGGCCTCAGCCTCCCAGGTGACTGGGATACCAGACACTCAGCCCCACACCTAGCTTTTCTGTATACCTTTTAAGTCTTGGAAATTTTGGATTTTGAAACATGCAAGTGGATTTTATCTTCAAAAACAAATCAAGGAGAAACTCTTTAACCCAGGGCCTCACAACCAAGTGACCTGGGCTGAGACCAATGTGCTTTCTTTTTTGGGGGGGTACTGGGTATTGAACCCAGGGGGGGCACTTGATCTATAAGCCCCATCCCCAGCCCTATTCTGTATTTTATTTAGAGACAGGGTCTCACCAAATTGTTTAGGGTCTCCCTAAGTTGCTGAGGCTGGCCTCCAACTTGCTATCCTCCTGCCTCAGCCTCCAGAACTACTGTAATTTCAGGCAGGCGCCCAGTTCTCTGACTCACTTTTTAAGTCCTGGGAGCAAGAGCCAAAGGCATCCATGAGGGTACAAGAAATGACACAGAATCTAGCGGGCAGCCCATGTGAGCTGCCTGTGGCAATCTAAATGTTCTAGTTAATTGATCAAAATCCTGATTCTTTGAGTCAATCCTTACTATGAAAAACTTGATTTCAGAAAAGAAAAAAAAAAAAGCCCCAAGTTTACTTCTCTCAGTAAATGCAATGGCCACAACTGCATTTTTACTGGATTCATTGAACTTTCAGGAATCTTAAGATGGGTGGGGGTGGCACACTTGTAATCCCAGCCGATCTGGGAGGCTGAGGCAGGAGGATCGCAAGTTGGAGGCCAGCCTCAGCAGCTTAGTGAGAGCCTGTTTCAAAATCAAAAAGAACATTTTTTTAAAGGGCTGGGCATGTGGACAGGGATGTAGCTCAGTTGGTAGAGCTCAGTTGGCTGGCATGCACAAGGCCTTGGGTTCAATGTCCAGCACCACAAAAAAAAAAGTGGGGGCGCTGGGCACGTAGCTTGGTAGTAAAGCACCCACAGGTCCAACCTCCAGTACCCAAGCACACAACAAACAAAAAAACCCTCTGCGGAATCAGAAGAGTAATCAAGCACAAAAAATGAGCCCGGGGCTTAGGAACCAGGCCCACCCTGAGTTCAAATCCTGGTTTGGCTTTTTTGACATGCAGGAGACCACGGGTTAGCCAGTCACTCCTTATCTCAGTGGCTCTCTAATAAATATGAACAGATAAACAGTCAAGGACGGAATGTCTGTCTCTGACCACCTGCAGCCCTGTGACTTGAAGGAATAATAATAATAATAATGCCCTCCAGGAGCAGAATATACCTCTAACTGCTTGGGAGGCTGAGGCAGGAGGATCCTAAGTTGGAGGCCAGCCTCAGCAACTTAGCAGAGCCTAAGCAACCCTGTCTCAAAGTAAAATCTAAAAAGGGCTGGGGATGTGGCTCAGGGGTTGAGCACCCCTGGGTTCAATTCCTGGTATTTAAAAAAAAAAAAAAAAGTGTTGGGTACAGGGTTAAATAAATTCTCAGCATCTTCCCCCCGCTAAAAAAAATCAGAAAAAAAAAAATGGGGGCAGCTAGAGATGTAGCTAGGTAGTAGATCACCTCTGTGTCCAATCCCCAGGACTGCAAAAATAAGCCCTTTGAACCTTGGCCCTGTTGGCCTTTACCTCTGACTTTCAAGCCTCAAAGAGCTGGAACACCAGCAGCTGACGTAAGAGTCCTCAAACTCGAACAAAACCCAGCATCAGCAGAATGCGGTGGCCCACAGCTGTCATCCCAGCAGTTTGGGAGGCTGAGGCAGGAGGATCACAAGTTGGAGGCCAGCCTCAGAAACTCGAGAGGCCCTAAGCAACTCAGCGAGACCCTGTCTCTAAATAAAATATAAAAAAGGGCTGGGGATGGGGCTCAGTCAGTAAGTGCCCCTGGGTTCAATCCCTGGTCTACTGTGTGTAAATTAAATGTTTTTTTTTTAAACCCAAATAGCCTTTAAAAATTTTTTTTTAGTTGTAGATGGACACAATACCTTTATTTTATTTATTTCATTGTTATGTGGTGCTGAGGATCAAACCCAGGGTCTCACATGTGCTAGGCAAGCACTCTGCCACTGAGCCACACCCCCAGCCCCTGTATATTACATGTTTTTCTTTTATTTTTATTTTTTGTGGTTCTGGGGATTGAACTCAGGGCCTTGTGCATGCCAGGCAAGCACTCTTCCAACTGACCTACATCCCCAGCCCTTAAATATTAATAAATGGAGTTCAAAAAAAAAAATCACAGCCATGCGCAGTGGGCACTGTAATCCCAGTGACTCAGGAGGCTGAGGCAGGAGGATGGCAAGTTGGAGGCCAGCCTCAGCAACTTTGTGAGGACCTTAGCAACTCAGTGAGACTCTGACTCTAAATAAAATACAAAAAAAAAAAAAAAAAAAGAGGGGAGCTGGGGATGTGGCTCAGTGATTATACACCCCTGGATTCAATCCCCAGGACCAAAAATTAAAAAAATTAAAAAAAATAAAATCTCATTGCTACAGGACACCTCAGAAGTCCTTTCTGGATTAGGAAACACACTGGGGAGAAGAAAAATGACTTCCTCCTGTTGAGTCAGCAGACCCCAGGTCTCCTGGACCTCAAGGACAGGGTTCCCTTAAATTCAATGGCTCAGTTTTAATCTGCACACTCCACAGGGGGCTGGGCTGGGCTTCAGATTTCTCTGACCACAAAAAAAAAAAAAAAAGGTAAGTCATTGCCAAAGGCTTTCCCAGTCCAAACAACCAGACTCTGAGAAGCAGCCCTGCCCTGGGGGGAAGATCAAACTGTTTTGAAGTCCCACAATCAGTTCCTAGCTCAGTGCCCAAAGGCAACTTTGTCCTTTGGGAGATGGTTGGGGACTTAGCTGAGTGGCAGAGAGTGCTTAGCATGCAGAAGGGTTCCAAGGGGAAAAAAAGCAACAATAACAACAATGGAAATGCAAAATAATAATAATAATACTGCTCTCCAGGAGCTGAATATACCTCTAACTGCTTGGGAGGCTGAGGCAGGAGGATCGCAAGTTGGAGGCCAGCCTCAGCAATTTAGCAAGGCTGTAAAGCAACTCAGAGAGACCCTGTCACTAAATAAAATAGAAAAAGGGCTGGGGATGGGGCTCAGGGGTTAAGCACCCCTAGGTTCAATCTCTGTGACCACATAAAACGAAACACACAAGTCGACCACAAGCACTAGCTGCTCTTTGTTGATTGGATGTTCCTGGTGACTCAGTCTGGCTGCTGCCATCATCACCCGGTGCAGACTCAGCCCCAGGGGCACACTCCACCCCCAGGCAGCCCTTCGCACCTTGCCCTCTCCAGACTCCAGAGGAGCTGAGGTCACACAGACCCGGTTGGCTTAACTTTTTCTCCAAGGCAACACCCAGAAATTATCCCAATTTTAACAGAAACAAAGACGTAGTGCTTTAGTATCCTGGCCAAGGACAACACGGAGCAGGCCTAGAGCACCCAGGGGGGCAGAGTCGCCGAGAAACAGGGCTCTGGGGACTCTCATCCACTTCTTGAAAACACAGCTGGGCGTGGTGGCACACACGCCGGTCATCCTTGAGACTCGGGAGGCTGAGGCAGGAGGATCGCAAGGTGGAGGCCAGCCTCAGCCACTTAGGGAGGCCCTGAGCCACTCAGGGAGACCCTGTCTCTAAATAGAATAGAAACAGGGCTGGGGACGGGGGCTAAGTCTTGAGGACCCCCTGGGTTCCATCCCAGGGATCTAGAAAAGAAAGGGAGGAGGGGACACAGCCCCTGCCCTGGGGTTGGGAGTTGTCCCATGAACTTGAGATTTTCAGACAAGGCAGGGGACATCGCTCGGGGCACCGATAGCTCGGGGCAGTTGGAGCGCCCTTTCTGAGCAGGATACCGTCCTGATCTCGGCTCCATTGGGGACGCGGACACTGAGGCGAGGACACTGGGATCTCCCTCCTCCCTATCCTTTATCAGTCCCCCCCCCCCTGGCCAGGACATTGGGGCAGCCACATCCTGCCGGTTGGTCTTGGGGCCACTGCCAGAGCCCGGGTCCTCTCCCCCACCTTCCGGTATCTGTGTGCACTTCTCGGTTTCTGTCGCCTTCCCGCGGGGGATGGGGATGGGGGTGGGGGTGGGGGGGAGGGGACCCGGCGCTGGCCCCGCCCGACCCAGGAAAGTTCCACCGCCACCTCCGGGTCCACAAAGAGGCTGCGGAGGGGGCGTGGCCAGGACCCAAAAAACCAAAAACAATAACAAAGACAACTTTTGGCCTCCGGGTCCCCGGAGCCACGACTTCCTGGTCGCCCCCCGTGCAGAGGGGGACCCGCGGGGTGTCGCAGATCGGGCCGGGCCGCCCAGCAGATGGGGGGGAGGGGGAGCTCCTCGGGCGGTGGAGAGGGGGTCTGTCCCCACGCCCCCGTGGGGTGCCCGATCGGTGCCAGCTGCAGAGCGGGGTGTCGCCCGGCTGTCGCCTGCCACCCGCCAAAGTCGCTCGGGCGCCGGGTTCCTCCCCCCCACCGCACCCCAGGCGGCGGCGCCCACCCGAGCCCTCCCCGGGGCGGCTCTGGGACCCCCGGGGGCGCCCACCTTGACCCTCTTGCCCTGGATCTCCAGCGTCTTCATGGTGAAGTCCACGCCGATGGTGCTGCCCTGGCGCTCGGCGAAGGCGCCCGTCTTGAAGCGCTGCACCACGCACGTCTTGCCCACGCTCGCGTCGCCCACCAGGACCAGCTTGAACAGAAAGTCGTACTGCTCGTCGGGGTCCCCGGGGCCCGGGCCCGCCATGGCCGCCCAGCCCCAAGGGCCGGCGCTCGGACGCTGCGGCCCGTCCGGGCTCTCACGCCGGGCGCGCCCCGGGCTCCGCGCGCTCCAGCCCCGCGGGCCGCTAGGGCGACGTGGAGCCGCCGCGACACCTGAACCGGCGGCCTCGGCCCCGCCCCGAAGACCCGCGGCTTCGGTGCCGCCCCGGAGGACTCGCCTCGCCCGGCCCTCAGCTGGGCTCGCGGCCGCCCTCCGCTCGGCGCTCGGCGAGCCCGCCCCTCAGGACCGCCCCGGCCACGCCTCCGGGCGCGCCTCGGCCCAATGGCTTCGCCCCACCTTCCCATGGCCCCGCCCCGCCAAGACTCCGCCCCCAGCGCCGCTCTTTCCCCTCAGCCGCGCTCCACTCCTAGCTCCCCGACTCCGCCCCCTTCCGACTCCGCCCCCAGCGGCGCTCTTTCCCTCAGCAGCGCTCCATCCCCCAGCACCCCGACTCCGCCCCCAACACTCCGACTCCGCCCCCAGCGCCGATCTTTCCCTCAGCAGCGCTCCCACCCCAACACCACGACTCCGCCCCCTCCCGACTCCGCCCCCAGCGCCGCTCTTTCCCTCAGCAGCGCTCCACTCCCAGCACCCCGACTCCGCCCCCAACACTCCGACTCCGCTCCCAGAGCCGCTCTTTCCCTCAGAAGCGCTCCGCCCCCAACACTCCGACTCCGCCCCCAGCGCCGCTCTTTCCCTCAGAAGCGCTCCACACCCAGCTCCCCGACTCCGCCCCCTTCCGACTCTATCCCCAGCGCCGCTCTTTCGCTCAGCAGCGCTCCACCCCCCCAGCACCCGACTCCGCCCCCTTCCGACTCCGCTCCCAGCGCTGCTCTTTCCCTCAGCAGAACTCCGCCCCCAACACTCCGACTCCGCCCCCAGCGCCGCTCTTTCCCTCAGCAGCGCTCCATCCCCCAGCACCACGACTCCGCCCCCTTCCGACTTCGTCCCCAGCGCCCGAGTTTCCCTCAGCAGCGCTCCGCCCCCAGCCCCCGACTCCGCCCCCTTCAGACTCCACCCCCAGCGCCCGCTCTTTCCCTCCGGCAGCGCTCAGCACCCCGACTCCGCCCCCTTCCGACTCCGCCCCCCAGCGCCTCTCTTTCCCTCAGCAGCGCTCCGCCCCCAGCACTCCGACTCCGCCCCCAGCGCCGCTCTTTCCCTCAGCAGCGCTTCTCCCCCAGCACCCGCATGACTCCGCCCACAGCATCCCGACTCCGCCTTCGGTACCCTCCTGACTCCGCCCACAGCATCCCGACCCCGCCCTTGGAACGGCGTCCCGGAAGTCCGCCCGCTCCTCCCCGTAGCCACGATGAGTCCCGCCCACCAGGCAGGCCCCGCCCACATCCTGCTCGCGGCTTCGCCCCCAGCCCCAGGGGGAGCCCAGGGCCGCCCGGGGCCCTCCATCCCCTGCACCCGCCACGCCCTGTCCGCCAGTCCCGACCCCAGGTCCTCCGCCCAGCCTCCCTCTCCCCCGGGCCTCCGCCAGCCTGCTCGGGCTCCCCTACCCACTGGCCTCCCAGCCCCGGGCAGGAGGGGGCCTGTCTGCCCAGTCCTGGATCCCAAGGGCCTTCTGCACAGTGGGTCCCCGCGGAAGGGGACAGCCAGACCCGCTGTCCTAGTGACAGCGCAGAAAGGCAGGGCTGGCCTGGGGACCGGGGATCCCAGAGAAATGTGACCCAAGCATCTGTAAGAAGACCCCTCAAGGGCTTCCCAGCTGCAAGGGACAGGGACCCAGTTCAAGGACACCGCCACCAGCCCAGGACCCCTGCCACCCTGCCCCCCGCAGCCTTCCTGGGGGGTGCAGAGCAGGCAAAGGCCAAGCCCAGGAAGGAGGCCGAGGGTTGTTTGTTCTGAGACGTTGAAGTCCCCTCCCTGAGAATCAGCCAATAGGTCCAGATGGAAGACCCCAGAGTCACTGGAAAGCCATCTGAGGTCCTCACTCGGGGACCTCAGGTGGGAGAGGGGAACTAGAGCTTCAGGAAGTGGCCTCCATTCCAAATAGGAGGCTGAGGGCATGGGAGGGAAGGTTTTGGCACCTGCTGGGGTGGCCCTGGGAGGTGGGGCACAGCTCCCACCCCAAGTGGAGTGGAAGATCAGGAGCCAGGAGGAGGGAGGCATGGGTGGCAGAGGAGGGACAGAGGGTGGGCAGTGGCTAGCTGGATCCTACCTTGCCCTGACCTAGAATTGTTGGGGGACGGGAAAGGAGCGCCCTGATCTGGGTGTGGTGACACACATCTGTAATCCCTACTGCTGGGGAGGCTGAGGCAGGAGGATCGAAAGTTGGAGGCCAGCCTCAGCAATTTAGAGAGACCCTAAACCACTCAATGAGACCCTGTCTCTAAATAAAATATAAAAAGGGCTGGGGACGGGGCTCAGGGGTTAACTTAATCCCTGGTACCAAAAATTTTTTAAAAAAAGAAAAAATTGAACACTTTTAAAGCTAGTAAGCAGGTGTGGAGGTGAGAGGGCTAAGTAAATGATGACTATTGGCGTCACTGTCACATGCTGGAACCATCTCAGCTAATAAATGGGGCCTGTAACCACAATGGTACGTGGATCACAACTCCCCCAAGTGGAAAATCGGTCATTATTTTCTGATTTTCTGCAGTCACCATTATTAAAGATAAAGAGCCTATCACAATATCGCCCAGATTTCATTTCTGTGGCCAGGGCCAGATCTATGGGACTTTCATTAGAAATAAAAATGAAAAAATTCCACAAAGACCACCAGACACCACACCTGATGTACAGTGTCATCAGCACAAGAAATTTGATTTTTTTTCTTATTTTTGGTACTAGGGCTTGAACCCAGGGGGGTGCCTAACCCCTGAGCCCCGTCCCCAGCCCTTTTTCTATTTTATTTAGAGACAGGGTCTCGCTGAGTTGCTGAGGGCCTTGCTAAGTGGCTGAGGCTGGCCTCCAGCTTGCGATCCTCCTGCCTCAGCCTCCCGAGCTGCTGGGATCACAGGCGTGCGCCACTGCACCTGGCGACTCTTAAAGCCGTGGGAGGGAGACTGTTTTAGACTCCCAGGAGAATTGGGAGGGGTGAGGGGAAAGGAGGAAAAAAGATGGAAATGTGTCTATGGAAAAATTACCTTTTTTTGCAACCGCAGGTCGGGCCAAAACTAACATAGAACACCAACAGGATCTTATTAACCAAACAAAAGCTGCCCAGACTGGTTCTATCCCCTGAGCAAGGAGTTGGGCCAAGATGACCACACCTACCTAGTCAGCTGCCCAATGTCCTGGGAGGCTTGGATAGGAGCCCTTTGGGGACCTTCCTCTGCTCCCAGGGTGACCAAGGGCTTCACATGTCTCATTGTAGAGGCCTGTTCCACCTGCACCCCAGGAAGCCTGAGAAGGACCCAAGGAGGAGATGAGGGGCTTAGTCTACCAAAAGCCTAGAACACTTGGCTTTCAGGATGGGCTTGCTCCAGGCGCACCCTCTTCCCAGGTGTTGGAATTCTCTGCTGTCCTCCCCCTAAATGCAGGAAGAAGTGCCGTGGCCTGGCTGTGCCCCTTGGGGGACAAACTCCTACCTGGGCCCAGGCTCACCCAGGCCCTGGGCCCAGCCCCCCATCCCAGGGGCTCAGACATAGGTCAATTGGTTCTCAGGCCATCTGAAGCCTCTGTCCAGACCACAGGATGGCCAAGACCCTGGGACAAACTTTGAGACAGCAGGAGCACTCCTGGACTCAGAGTCGAGGCCCAGAGGGACTCAGCGTGCTCACCCCTCAGCCCCCAGCTCCAGCCAAGCCTGGGCTGCTGTTGGGCCCAGCGTCTCCCAGGGCTGCCAAGGCTCCAGCCCTCACCTCCCCCTTCCGTGTTCACAGCTCTAGGGCTGCTCGGTTCCCTGCAGCCTTGGGCTTCCACCAGGAGTCAGCAGCAGCCACTGGCCAGGCCCTGCTGTCCCCTGACACCGCCACCTGCAGCCACATGGGGCTCTGCCATGGCCAACCCAGGGGGCCACCCTGCAAGGTCCCCTGTGGCCTGGGATGGGCTGTCTCCGAGCCGGGAGCTGCCGCCCCAGAGCGCCCCCTGCAGGCCGCAGAGTCCCTCAGCGACTCTAGCCTCACAGGTTCTTTCCTGTGGAGTGTCATTCCTGTCACTTAATTGTCACCTCAGGGAACAAACGGCAGGCACAGAACTTCCCCTTTCTTATAAAAATCTTTAATAAAAATAGTTGTGTGCAGAACAGGTTAGAAAACAGAAGTGACAAGTTCAGTGGTCTTGTCCCCTGGGCGGGAGACGGGAAGCAGGCTGGGGTAGTCAGAGCCAGCGCAGGGCCCAGGGGAACAGGGCCACTCTGGCTGGCGGCCCATGGGGGAGGGTTCAGGGTCAACCCAGCATCTCATTTTTCTAGAAAAAAAAAAAAATCACACTTTTTTTTGGTGTGTGTGGTTCCAGGGAATGAACCAGTGACATTCTACCACTGAGCCACATCCCCGTGCTGCTTAGTTTTTATGGAAAGATAGGATCTCATGAAGTGGCTGAGGCTGGCCTCCAACTTGCGATCCTCCTGCCTCAGCCTCCCAAGCTGCTGGGATCACGGCATGGGCCACTGTGCTGGCTCCTTTTACACACTTTGGAGCAGCAGCCGGCAAGGCCCTCCCCTGGGGTTAGCCCAGGAGACCAGGAAAGACATGAAGGATGAGAAGGGAGCAGGGCCTCGCAGCACCACCTGCTGGCACGCAGGGTGGCTGCAGGGGCGCCAGACATCGAGCCCACCTTCCAGACTCCTGGGAGGGCACCAGCCTGGCCTAATATCCCAGAAGCCTTCTGGCCTCCTCACTCTGGGCCTGCAGGGTCTCGCTTGCGTATTTCTGCAGCAACTCCATCTTCTTCCTTCGCACGAGCGCCTCTTCGATCTGTGGATGTCAAAAGTAGACGGCTAACTCTTTATATTTGGGGGTTGGCGGGGGGGGGGGGGACCAGGGATGGAACCCAGGGGCCCTCGACCCCTGAGCCCTGTCCCCAGCCCCATCTTGTATTTTGTTTACAGACAGAGTCTCACTGAGTTGCTTAGCACCTAAATTGTTGAGGCTGGCCTCCAATTTGTGATCCTCCTGCCTCAGCCTCCAGAGGCGCTGGGATGACAGGTGGGTGCTGCCAGCAGGACTCACTCTTTATCTAGGGAGCATGGCCTCACAGAGGCAGAACCCAGCGAGGAGGGAGTCCCTGTGGGAGACGTCCACAGAGGACGGGGGACTCAAGTGGGGCTTCTCCCTCCCATTGGAAACATTCGACTAAAAGAATGTGTTTGAGGCTAAGGCTGCAGGATCTCTGGGTTCCAGGCCCTTCTGTGAGCATGACAGCGAGCGCCCTGGAGAGGAAGGGCCCCTCAGACCCCCCTGGGGTACTCTGCGGAGCCTGCTCTGGTGACCCAGGGACCCCAACAGCACCCACTCTGTGCCGCCCAAAGCCCCATCCTACCTCCTGTTGGGATGGCACCGGGACGTGTGCGATGAACTTCTGCTGCCCGTCCTCGCCTGTCCGCTCCTGGCTGCCTTCCTCATCCGACTAGAGACAGCAAGCACAAGACCGTCAGCATGACCCGCCACGGGAAGGTCAGCATCTCAATAAAACGCACCGCGACACAGCTGTTGGCCAAGGAACCAGGGAGCCCGGATGCTTACGCCAGACACACTAGATCCACGCTGGGGTCGGAACCCAGGGGCGCTTGACCCCTGAGCCCTGTCCCCCTCCTTTTTACTTTTTAGCTTGAAACAGGGTCTCACTAAGTAGCTTAGAGATTATTGTGTTGCTGAGGCTGGCCTCCAACTTGTGATCCTCCTGCCTCAGCCTCCACAATCCCTTTATTTTATTTATTTTTCTGTGGTGCAGAGGATTGAACCCAGGGCCTTGCACATGCTAGGCGAGCGCTCTACCACTGAGCCACCAACCCAGCCCAATTTTTTTTTTTTAATTTAGAAATGTACCTTACAAAGAAAAAAAGATCAACTCAGAGGCTGCCTAGGAGTCAGTCACTCATAACTAAGGAAATAACGGAGACTCGGAAGGGTGGCCACCCAGCCTCTGAGTGGGGAACTGCATTAGTAATGAGTGTGACTCAAACATGGGCTATAGGGGCCGGGCACGGGAGCACACGCCTGTAATCCCAGGAACTGGGGAGGCTAAGGCTGGAGGATCTCAAGGTGGAGGCCAGCCTCAGCAACTTAGTGAGATCCTGTCTCAAAAGTGAAAGAAAAAAGTTTTTAATTATTTTTTTAGTTGGAGACACCAGAGATTTATTTTATTTATTTTATGGGGTGCTGAGGATCGAACCCAGGGCCTCACATGTGCCAGGCAAGTGCTCTACCCCTGAGCCCCAGCCCTTTTTATTTTTAGAATTAAGACGAGGTCTTGGGCTGGGGCTCAGGAGGCTGAGGCAGGAGGATCGCAAGGTGGAGGCCAGCCGCAGCAACTTAGTGAGGCCGTGAGCCACTCAGCGAGACCCTGGCTCTAAATGCAGTGAGCCACACTCCTGACTTGTGCGTGCACTTTTCTGTACTGTGCCGAGACCTTGACCTTGACCTTGACTCAGACATATCTCCAGGGCCCAGCTGAAGGGGCAGGCTCTCTGAGGTGGCACTCAGCGCGACTCCACAGACAGACATTCTGGTTCCATAAAGGCTCCAGCTTTTAGTTTTGGCCCCAAATGACAAAATGACAGAGGATGAGAGATTTTCAGGGTTTGCTGAGGTGAGAGACGGTGGGTGGGCAGGTGGCTTCAAAGACACCCAGGGCTGAGGGTCTCTGTGGAAAACCCACTTGTGTCCTTTTTTTTCTCTTGGTCCCAGGGATGGAACCCAGGGGCGCTTACCCATGGAGCCCCGTCCCCAGCCCTTTTTATG